CTGAAATGTTACCTGCTTTGCCTTAAAAAAAAAATCACAATGTGTATCCCTTTCGCCCTCACAACTTTGGATCATCCTGCCAAGTAAATTGTCACAACTGTGGTTAGTCAATGAGACAAATAAAATTCAAATATCCTAACTAAAAAACAGTGAGAACTGCACAAAAATTCTAGGGTCACAATTACAATAACATGGTTAAATCTTACATTTAAACAGTTAGATCTGTTCTTCATACTCTGTTTGGTTACCAAGTTTACGTTTGGGTCAGGTAAGATCTCAGATCTTAGATCCCAACAACTTCACTGCAAAATCAAAGGTCAAGTTAGAAAATTTGACATCAAATACTTCAATTACTAAATGTGTCTTGAAAATTAGTAAACTAACATTACTGGAAAACACTTCTAAACTCACAATTTTGAGAAAAAGTTTAAACTTAATTCTCTAAGCAGTGTAAAAGATCTCTACTGCATACTCTCTTTGGTTCCCAAGTTTACGTTTGGGTCATCTAAGATCTCATATCTGTTTTGGTTCCCAAGTTTACGTTTGGGTCATCTAAGATCTCAGATCTGTGACCCCAACACCTTCACTGCAAAATCAAAGGAGGTTTTAGAACAATTGACATAAAATACTTCAATGTGTAAATGTCGTTTGCAAATTAGTAAAGTAACATGACCTGCTAAAAAATGGAATGGTAAAAAGCCCTGCAAAAATCGATTTTAATAAGTTTAAGTGAAGTCAAACTTATATATACTGATTCAATTTTAATCTTAATCCAGTATTTAAATTAATTGTCCACTTTTTCATTTTAAACTCTAACATTACCTGTTAACTAATTGTATACTCGGTTTGGTTCCCAAGTTTAAAATTGTATGGGTTAAGATCTCACATCTGTGACCAATACACCTTCACTGCAAAATCAAAGGTCATTTTAGCAAATTTTTCAGAAAATACTTCAATTACTAAATGTCTCTTAGAAATTCGTAAAGTAACATTACTGCAAAGCACTTCTAAACTCACAATTAAAATAACAGTTTTAAACTTACATTTAAACACTGTAAAATATCTGTTCTCATACTCTCTTTGGTTCCCAAGTTTACGTTTGGGTCATCTAAGATCTCAGATCTGTGACCCCAACACCTTCACTGCAAAATCAAAGGTCATTTTGGAGAAATTGACATAAGATACTTCAATTAGTAAATGTGTCTTTAAAATTAGTAAAGTAACATCACCTGCTCAAAAATCGAATTCAAGAGCCCCTGAAAAAATCGATTCGAATTCAAGAGCCCCTGAAAAAATCGATTCTAATAAGTGGTAATGAAGTCAAACTTATATATACTTATTCAAATTTTATCATAATGATGTGTTCAAATGACAAGTGACTCTTTCATTTTACAGTATAACATGACCACAAAAATATACATTCAGTTATATGTGAACAGTTTCACCACCTAAATATATAAAACTATAATTAAAAACATTAACCTTTCAGCTTCATTAATATAACAACAAAAAAAAAAGATTACAGTGAGGGATTAATTCACAGCACTTTAAAAAACCTTTTAGGTTCTCTATGTACTTGATAACATGAATAATTAAGTCCTACAATTTTGTTTTTCAAGAGAAAGCAGTTTACCTTCTCTATAAATACACAACCAATAACAACAATATTGGATTTACAACACTGATCTGAACACAATAAACTCATCCCATAAAAAACATAGTAGCTAAAGCATTCCCATAAAAAACACAGTAGCTAAAGCATTTCTATTGCAGAACATCAGGAAGATTACATCATCATGCACGATTGGATCCAAGAGGAAACAGTGTCGTCAAACAAAAGGTGTGTCTCCTTCAAATGCATTACATACACTATCAAATAGGTAGTAAAAGCATGTAGTCAATCATATAGGAAACCTTATCAAATGCATTACATACACTATCAAATGACATATTAAATTGTAATATTAGGAAAACTTATCTCTTTTCTAAGCTCTCTGTTCAAATTAGAAACCCTTGGCTGTAGACCGAAGAATATCTTCGATTCATAGGAAACTGCAAAAAAATCTACAAATATCAAATTAGAAATTATCAAACCCTTAATTTGCATGTTGAGATCGAAAGTTAAACATTCAAATAAACAAAATTTTCAGGTTTAGATGCATGATTCCGAAACTCAAAATTCTGGGTTTTAGATTTTCGATTAAGTAACATCAGTTCACAAAAAAAATCGAAATAAAGCATAAATCCTATATTAAAGCTTATAATTGAATTTTAAAGCTGTAAATCGGAGAAAAGAAGAATCAGGATTAAAAACTTACAAATCTAGTTGTGAGACTTCATTTCGATTTTCGCGACTGCTGAATCTACGAGCAAACGCGAACTCCGACTAGGGCTTCCAAATCGGTACTCGAACAATAGTGTAAAATTGTCTCAATTAGAGATGATGTATGTAGATTACATACGGACGACACCTGATTAGGAACATAAAGAGCATGATCTGGAAAATAAATGGAGAAATAGGACGAACTCGAGAGAAAAGGGTGCAGAGCGAAAACTGTGAACGCTGGGAATGAAATGAGAACATCATTCTCCTTTCCAAAATATAACATAATGCAGCCTTAAATCTCCAGGCCAGCTGTCCCACCCAAAAGAGGTGCCTACAATTCAGCGAGGGGATTAGTCAATGTATCCGACGGTGGAAACCCTGGGTACACCCAAAAAAATAGAGTAATATTTATAATATTATAAAATTGATTAAAACTATTAGTTTGAGGATTATATATATTATATATAAAATATATAAACAGGACTATTTCACTTTAAATTAATCATTTACTTTTGGTTTATATAAATATAGAGATAGAGATTTATTATATGTTTGGAATTTGAAGTTTTATAATTATTTCACATGTTTAGTAGTGGTTATTATTTACATAAAGTTTAATATATTAGGACACTAATATATAATCTCTTAATGACCGGTTTAAACATTCATGTCCTAATATGCAGAGAACGAACATTTTACACCCAATGAAGGTTCGCAATCATCGTTAACAAATCAAGTTCCACAACCGTCTAATAGAACACAAATATTCGGTGTCTTTCAGAATACACTTTGTACACCTTTGAGTGTTGTTACAAATGGTGAGCAAGTCTTGAGCTTTTTGGATTAAATTCATAAATGCTATAAGGGTATTTTTTTTAAACCATTTGTTCTGAATTTATATAATATAACTAATTATATTCTTTTATTTTGCGTAACAGGGTCTACCACTACAAGAACATTAATGTCTAACAGCTTGGGTCAAACAAGCAATTACAGACAACCTTTAAGCAATATTACAAATTGTTAGTATTTTTTTTTTTTTGAAAATTACAAATTGTTAGTATTGTTATATTAATATAAATAATTTTCCTAACACTTAATCTGCAATTATTCATTATTTATACTATAATAACAATACTTAATTGATGACAACTCTTATAGCTTATCGCGGAGAAGTTATTGATTTAATGGATAATTCACCGCCGAAGAAGCGCCTTCTTCATACATTTGACCTGAATTTGTCGCCAAGTAAAAGCGATGATGCAATTGGTAAACAAATCGTCAACTAAAAATCTAAATTATTACATTATGTTTATAACATTACTATAACGTACCCTAATATTTATGTTTATGATGGTAATAATTTTCGAGACGAATGGTTGTGTTACAACAGATGGTAACAAAGGAATGCCAAACCAAAGAGAGTTACACCCCGTTCAACACGTTCAAAACCTAATTTCATAATTCAAAGAGGTTGTTGAACCTATACAGCTGCAAGCCGTTGCAATTAATGGTCCGTCAAGTCACTTCATTCCCAAACAATAATATTGATAAAATGTACTCTATATATGCGAGATTATTGGATTTATTTTATTTATTTGAATTTCTTTTTTACAGTTGAATACCTAGATTTTGGAGACCCATAATTCGTGTGCGAGTATTGTAGTGCCATTTTTTGGTCAAATGAACGCTCGTCACAGTCAAAACCAAATGCAAAGCCAAAGTACTCAAGTTGCTGTGTACATGGAAAAATTGTGTTACCGTTGATGATAAAGCCACCAAATAAGTTACATGATTTGTTCTTTGGACCAAGCGAGAAAAACAAATGTTTCTTGCAAAATATAAGATCGTATAATAATATGTTTTGTTTCACATTGATGGGTGGTAAAGTGGATAGATCAATTAATAATGGTTCTGCACCACCAGTATTTCGTATTAATGGCCAGAACTTCCATCGCATTGGAAGTCTTTTACCTACTGCGGGAGTACAACCAAAGTTTGCGCAACTTTATATTCACGACACAAAATAAAATCGAAAATCGTATCAAGTGTGTTAGGTATAACAAATTCTAAACATTAACATTTCATTTTTGTAAGTACATACAATTGTACATTTCTTTAACAATATTTGTAATTGTTTATATTTAACTTTTTGTAGGACTAATAGTGATCAAGCGGATCTACATCGAGAAGTTGTATCTGACATTAAAGAGGTTTTAGATCACAATAATGTGTTCCGTATGGCTAAGAACTTTTTTGATTGTAATGAAACGTCTGAGATTAAGATGAGGCTGATAGGCAGGAGGGCTACAGATGCACGTACTTATTCATTACCAACAACGTCTGAGGTTGCAGCTCTAATAGTAGGAGACCTAGAGCCATCAATGGGTGAACGGGACATTTTAGTGGAGTGTAAAACTGGAGGGTTGAAAAGAATTAGTGAATTAAACCCAGCCTATTTGCCATTGCAATATCCAATTTTATTCCCTTATGCGAGGATGGATTTAGGGAGGACATTCTATTTTCAACAACAATTACTAATCATAATTGGTCAAGAAAAAGTGTCTCGCAAAGGGAGTATTTCGCTTTTCATGTTCATGAAAGGTTAACTGAGGTATCAACTCTACTATATGCTAAGAGGTTATTCTAACAATTCTTAGTCAATGCGTATACAATGGTTGAATCTTCACGGTTGTGTTATATAAGGTCAAATCAAAAAGCACTGAGATGTGAGGCATACAAAGGCCTCTCAGATGCCTTGACCCGAGGTGAGATTGAACCCAACACTCAAGGCAAAAGAATCATATTACCATCAAGTTTTACCGGCGGTGCAAGATACATGATACAAAATTATCAAGATGCTATGGCGATTTGTAGGTTTATAGGTTATCCAAACCTATTTATTACATTCACATGCAATCCAAAATGGCCCGAGATAAAATGGTTTTTGGACAAAAAGGAACTTGAAGGTAGAAGATAGGGCCGACATAGTTTGTCGTGTCTTCAAGATGAAATTGGATTCAATGATCAAAGAGATTATACGAAAGGGAAATTATTTGGTCATGTTAAAGCTGGTATAAATTATTATACATTGTAATATATTTTTTAAGTGTGCTATAATACAATCAAGCAAAATTCACTTATTATAGTTCTTTGTTTGCAGTTATTTACACAATCGAATTTCAAAAAAGGGGTTTACCACATGCACACATACTATTATTCCTTCAAAAGCATGATGGTTTCTCTAGCCCAACATTCATGGATTCGATCATTTCAGCTGAGATTCCGGATAAGGTTACTGACTTGGTATATTATACAGTTGTTGAAGAATTCATGGTTCATGGACCTTGCGGACACGTTAAAAGGAATTCACCGTGTATGGTAAATGATAAGTGCTCTAAACATTTCCCCAAGAGATTCATTGATTCATTTCAGTTTGATCAAGATGGGTACCCGTTGTACCGTAGACGAAATGACAATCGAATGTTAAAAAAGTGTGGAATAGAGCTTGATAACAGGTATATTCTCATAATCGATATCTACTACTGAAGTACAAAGCCCACATTAATGTTGAATGGTGCAACCAATCACGGTCAATCAAGTATTTGTTCAAGTACGTCAACAAAGGTAATGACCGGGTTACAGCTGAGTTTTATAAGACCACGACTGATGATAGCGGTAATGAAGTTGTAGATGAAATCAACATGTACTACGATTGCCGATACATTTCAGCTTGTGAGACAATGTGGCGCTTACTGAGTTTTGAGGTACAGTATCGCTCACCACCTGTTGAGAGGCTAAGCTTTCACTTACCGGATTGCCAATCAGTTATTTTTCAAGACGATGATAACATTAATCACGTTTTGAATAGGGAATCAGTTGCGCAAAGTATGTTCAATGGATGGTTTGTAGCAAACCAAAAGTACCCACAAGCTAAACAATTAAGTTACATAGAGATGCCTACAAAATTTGTTTGGAAAAAGGACATTCGTGAATGGCATCCAAGAAAGAAGGGTTTCGCCATCGGTCGAATATTCTATGTTCCACCAGCATCTGGTGAGTTATATTATTTGAGGTGCTTATTGAACATAGTACGTGGCCCCAAAACTTTTGAAGATATTAGGACACATAATGGAGTGGAGTATGGTACATTTAGGGATGCATGTTATGCTCAAGGCATGTTGGATGATGATAAGGAGTACATTGATGCTATAGTAGAAGCAAGCTTTTGGTCAACTGCTCATTCATTAAGGAAGTTGTTTGTAGTGCTTTTGACATCGAGTTGCATCATTAGGCCAGAATATGTTTGGAATGAGGTGTGGAAACATTTGTGTGAGGATGCTCAACATGTTCAGAGAAGAATTCTACAACAACCAGGTATAAACTATGCCTCATATTACACTTATCAAATTATTGTAAATAATATTCTTTATTAAAGTTGGTTTTTTTTTCCCATATTTTATTACAACAGATTTGTTTTTAACTGAAGAAGAAAAGAAGAACTTTGGGCTAATTGAGTTGGAGAAATTGTTGGAACAACAAAATAAGTCTTTAAAGGACTACCACCCGATGCCGATCCCAGAAATGGTTAACTCTACATTGGTACGTAATCAATTGTTGTATGAAGAATTATCATATGATCATGAGTTTTTAAAAAATGAGGCTCAAGAGTTGTGTGGTAAGTTGACAGAAGAGCAAAGATTGATTTACAATACTGTGCTAGACGACGTTTCCAGTCACCTGGGTGGTTTGTTTTTTGTTTATGGTTACGGTGGTACTGGGAAAACATTCATGTGGCGAGCATTATCATCTACATTGCGTTCAAAGGGCCAGGTGGTTTTGAATGTTGCATCAAGTGGTATAGCTTCGTTGTTGTTGCCTGGTGGACGAACTGCACACTCAAGGTTCGCAATACCAATAGCAATAAACGAAGATTCGACATGTAACATTAAACAAGGAAGTCAGTTAGCTGATTTATTGATACAAACAAGTTTAATAATTTGGGATGAAGCGCCGATGATGCACAAGTATTGTTTTGAAGCACTAGACCGGACCATGGGGGATTTGTTGCGTTTTGTAGACCTGAACAGTTCCAACAAGACTTTTGGCGGCAAAACAGTCGTACTCGGTGGTGATTTCCGTCAAATACTACCCGTAGTCCCCAAAGGTACTAGGCAAGACATAGTAGGTTCTACTATCAACTCTTCGTACTTACGGGACAGTTGCAGGGTTATGAAGCTAACACAGAATTTGCGACTAAGCAATGTCGAAAACCCCGACGAGCGCCGTACCGCAAAACAGTTTGCAGATTGGATTGCTGCAATAGGCGATGGAAAGATTGGTGGCCATAATGATGGTTATGCTGAAGTAGAAATACCTAGGGATATGTTACTACCTACCAATGGTGACCATATTGAAACCATTGTTCGGAGTACATTTTAAATGTTTGCAAATGGTAATTCTAATGCGAGTTATCTTCAAGGCCGTGCTATTCTAGCACCTACACTAGATGTAGTTAACTCAGTTAATGAGTATATGAGTGACTTGCATACGGCTGAAAGTAGAACATATTTTAATTACGACACAATATGCAAAGCGGATGCAGGTAGTGGAATAATGGGTGATGTCCACACACCTGAGTTTTTGAACGGTATTAGAGCTTCAGGTATCCCAAACCATGCATTGACTATAAAAATTGGTTCCCTAGTAATGTTATTAAGAAATATTGATCACTCAGTTGGATTGTGTAATGGTACGCGGTTGGTAATCACAAAGTTAGCAGACCGTGTAATTGAAGCTGAATTAATAGATGGTGCTAACAAAGGTGAAAAAGTGTTGATACCTAGAATGTCAATGTCACCCTCAGACACAAGATTACCATTCAAGTTTCAACGCCGACAATTCCCACTAATGTTAGCATATGCAATGACTATTAACAAAAGTCAAGGTCAAACACTGTCACATGTAGGTTTGCTTCTAAAAAAAACCGGTTTTTGTGCATGGTCAATTGTACGTTGCTGCATCTCGAGTTAACAACCCAAGTGGGCTTAAAATATTGATTGCCAGCGACTCAAGGACAACTGCTACGTCCACAACTAACGTAGTATACCATGAAATCTTCAATAATTTGTAATTGTTTACTAAACGGTATTTTGGATATTCTGTGTAAACGTGTTGTCATTATTTTTCCTATTTGTTAATTTTGGAAATTTTTCCCACTAAGGTAACCAATTATTCACACAATTGGACAATATCTTGAACAATACCCATCCTGTGCATCGTACGGGGACTATACTAGTTACTATGTTAAAACATAATAAAATTATGTTTAATTGTTACACTAGAATTTTATCACTATATGTCTTTGTTCTTTAACTGACATGTTTCTGGCATAAATGCATGCTTGAGGTTTTAGTTTTATCATTTAAGATGAATATTAAAGTTCTTTAATCTCAGCTTGACTACCAAACAACTATACTTCATCTAGGTTGGAAAAATTTGAATTCTAAAATGCAAAGTAAAACTTTACATGTTGGGGTTATTATCGTCAACAGTTCCCAATGTAGCTACAATACCAAGCATATCACTTGATAGTGGGTAATTATAAGAAGACAACAAAGATATACAAACCAAAGTTTGTCACTAGGACATCTATAGACATAAATTTACATCTCCATAAGCAGTCTCGAGAAGTTCAAAGGCATAGAATTTTAAGATCTATTTTAAGTAAAATTCCCTGACAATATACAGTTACTACTCAAGTTTTTTAAAGGTGACAAAGTGTAACTTCATAGGGTAAAAGACATCTACTGAAACAAGTAATCAAAAAAGTCGAGTAAATGCCAGCCAAGGTCCTCCGAGTTTGGTGGTTTCTCTTCTTTAGTCCTAAACTTTCAAATCAACCACCCATGGTCCTCTGAGTTTTGAATTCAACCTGTCGCAGTCCTTCCGTTAATATATTATGTCTTGGCCATGAAAAGTAAGGGCAAAATAGTCTTTCTATTTCAACCCCAGCCAAAACAATTCATTTCCCTCAAAAATTAAAATTAGCCCTAATCTCCTCACTATGTACCTTTGGTTCACACTCTCAAATGTCTATGGATTCCCCAAAATTATATCTTCTCCTTGTACTACTTGAACACGATGGCATTATTGGTCAATAGATTTCTTGTGAAAAAAGATGGAAATCGGAGAAAAGAAAAAGGAAGAAAGAAATAGGAGGAAGAAGACGTACGAAGAAATGGGAGGAGATTAGGACTAATTTTTGACGTAAATGATTTGTTTTTCCTAGGGTTGAAATAAAAATACTGTTTTGCACTTACTTTTCATGGCCAAGATAGAATATGTTAATGGAAGGACTACGACATGTCGAATTTGAAACTCAGAGGACCACGGGTGGTCGATTTGAAAGATTAAGACTAAAGGGGGTGAAACCATCAAACTCGGAGGACCTTGGCTGACATTTACTCAAAAAATTTACTCTGCATACATATTAAATGACTAAAGACGGGTTGGAAGAGGATGAAACACAACTGCCCATCTTTCCCAATATATAGTTTTGCATAGAACTCTTTCGATAAAAGTGCATTTGTGAAAAGGCACAAAGCTGATACACACAACCTCTGCTTACAAAAGACAAATACCTGATATGAAACACGTCAACTATAGAATACCATAAAAACATGCATTTCAAGTATAGCAAAGCAAACTAATGATCATAAATAACACTAAACACATAGTGGAAGAGTTGCAAGCTATACATCTAGGGACAAACAACTCTCAAATAATTTAAACTTCATTACTAATTCACATGCAAATTTATAACTTGGATGCAAAAACACTAAATAGCCAAACAAGCCATAAAGCATGTAGAATGAAATAGTACATTAGATAGAAGACAACCGCTCTAGAAAAATGTAATGAAGATGATTGTAGAAAGATTTCAATTGAGGATAAAACACAACTTCCTAGCAAACCAAAATTAAAGAAAGCAAATCGAAAGTTCTACCCCTATAATTTTTATTAATGTGTCTTTTATTTTATCTAATTACAAATTTAGAAACAATATTATAAAGTATGAATATTTTGTATTTTTGTGTATTTCATTAATTATTATAATTTTTATTCTTATTTATCAATTTATTGATTTTGGAATAAGAAATGTTATTATTGTTTGAAAATGTTTAATTAAATAAACAAAGGCAACTTTCAAAAAAAAAAAATAAACAAAGGCAGATTAACAAAAATTAAATGAGCATATAGTAAAGTATTTTATTTTTTTTATCAAATGCTCAGTTAAATAAAATTAAAGAAACAGTAATTAAAAGTGGTTAGAGTAGAGTTGTTATAGTTTAAAATTGTAACATAAATGTTATTTGGTCTACTCTTACTATTAACATTTTGATTTTTTTAGTATTTATAAAAGTAACATTAATGTTGTAGCAATAGTAATGTAAAAATTGACAGTGACAAAATGATGAAAAACTAATGAATAGTAATGAAGTAGTGATGAGACTAAAAATATCCCCATTTAAAAAATAAGATTTAAAAGTTTTATTGTTACAGAGAAAAATCTCTTAAAATTATTATATTAACTATTTTGGATGATGATTTGGATACCAAGTAAGCCTTCTTGCTAAAACAAATAAAAGCTGTCTAATTGTACTTTTTTTCCCTAAATTCAATGATCTCTTTAAAACTTTTTAAATTTAGGATTCAATTTCAATGAAAGCTTATATGACCGTATTTCATAATTAAAAATGATTGTGATTTTATAGGCTTACTTATGAATACATCATTACTTCATTACTTCATTTGTTCAAGTTGGGCGTCGACCGGGTTGGCCAAGTTCAGCCCCTACCCGATTTGAGACGTAGCGTTGTGGCATACCATGGAGGAATGTGGTTAAATGGTTAACGTCCACTTACTTATCACCAATTGGTTTGAAGTACGATATGACAATTAGATAGCCAAAGAAGTCTGTGGTGACCCCCTGCGAAGTAAGCATAATGCAGCACTGAGATCCATCAATTCATTTGATGCAAAGTAAGCATAGTGCAACGCTGGGATCCATCAATTCATAAACACTAACTCATGTTTGGTTATTGCTGAAAAAACCGGTGTTTAATCACAATCAATTGTATGTGGTTTTTTTCCGAGTCACCCATCCTGATGGCCTGAAAGGACTATCAACAAAATCCAGGGCCAAACACTAAATCATGTTTGGTTATTGCTGAAAAAACCTGTTTTTAATCACAGTCAATTATATGTGGCTTTTTTCCGAGTAACCCATCTTGATGGCCTGAAGGTGTTAGCTCTAGACGAGGACGGACAAGATTCTGTTACTACTATCGATATCATCTACAAAGAGGTTTCAATAATGTGTAATTCGAACCAATGATATTTTATATATATATATATATATATATATTCAAATAGCACATTTGCTCAAGCTATACAAATCCTAAACACTGATATATAAAATCCCCAAAGTTTCAACATCGGATGCTTACATCTACACATTAGCTATTAATTCAATAATTATTTGGTCGAACTCAAGAAATGATAACATCACAAAACATAATTAATCTAAACCATCTTTTCATTTGCACTATATATTTGATGTTATAATTTATATAATTATAAATCGATCTAAATATTCTTAAAATATTATAGCAAATTCATTCCGTGCATCGCACAAGTAAAAATACTAGTTTAAGTTAATAAAGCAAAATTGATTATACGAATACGTTTATATTGTAGATTTCACTTTTGACATATAATATCTTTTAACTATTAAACCTTACTAAAACAAGAAAATATTAGCAATGAATGGACAAATTGGACCGAGGACAAATTAGATCAACTTATTAATCAGTAATCACAATACTAGTCACAAGTCATATCTTTTAATTTTTCTATATTAAATCATTGATTTATTTTCTTACAACAATTAGTCATTCTTTTAAATTTATGTCACTTCACCTTTAACAAGAAGGCTAAAATATTTCATCATTTAAGCATCGTCTTACCCTAACGTGTGATTTCTTTCCCTGTCTCATAAACTCTTATAATTATATGATTAAAATTACATGTTAGTTCTATTTATTAATAGTAGTGTTGGAAAATTAGCTAAAAATGGCATGCATGCAAAATAATCAATTTTTGGGGCAATATTTTGAGTGCGATCCACTTCCAACTTGGGTCAGTTTTGAGTGAGGTTTAATTTGACAAATTATGCTGTGCATCCGTATGCACCATGCATGGTGCATACGGATGCAAAAACGACGTCGTTTTAATAAAACGCGCGTCTCCTCTTAAAAAAAAAAATCAGGTTCGATTTCCAGCAACAACATATGAACTAAAATTCCAGAATCGATGAACTATAATTTCATAATCGATGAACTATAATTTCATAATCGATGAACTATAATTCCAGAAAC